TATGATTCGATTGAGATTAAATTTGGTAAAGCTTATTTGTTTGACCCCGGAACTAGGAAATTGGACAAAATCAGTTCCGATCTAGATATACCACTCATACACATTTTTGTCCGATTTGATATAAATGGTAAACCCAACTTCCAAAGCTAGTTCGATTCATTATAGGCTCAATTTTATACGTTGTGAACAATTTCGACTTAATCCGACAAACATTGGGCCTTAGTGCACCATTTAGGAGAAATCGACCGAAGATATATATGGGAGGTATATCAAAATTGGAAACGATTTCAACAAAACTTAACACATGTCATTATATGCTGAATTTGATACGTTGTGCAAAATTTCGTCGCAATCGGGAAAAATTTGCGTTAATTAGTGCATCATTTAGGAGAAATTGGCCGAAAATATATATGGGAGCTATATCAAAATCTAAACCGATTTCAACAAAACTAAACACACGTCATTATAGGCTCAATTTGGTATGTTGTGCAAAAATTCGTAACCGGAGAAAGATTGGGCCTTTAGTGCACCATTTAGGGAAATCGGACGAAAATATATAGGGGAGCTATATTTAAATCTGAACCTATTTCCACCAATTTCAATAGGGTTCGTCCTTGGACCAAATAAATGAGCTGTGCCAAATTTCATCTCATTCAGATCATAAATGCGACCTGCATTTGGTTTACAATAATACATGGACAGAGGGACATGCGTAAATCGACTCATAAAGAGATTCTTATTCGAGTGACTTACGACTAAACAGTTCCGATGTTTTGAAAAATATTTCATTTATTTTTGCTTTGATTCATTGCCTATATATAAGGTCTACCGGGAGGCGAATTCATGCCTTAGTTTTCCTGTGCTGTCAAGCGTTTACATCGCGAAAAATCAACCATAACAAGGTAAAAATACAAAATATCTTTCGGAATATCACAATAGTATTATTGTGCACGTATACTTTTGTTGGAATAAATATATTTTTCGTATATTTATTCTTCGAAAAATTAATTTTGACATTCAATGAAGACTACAGCTGGCCTTACCGGCAAACCATATAAACAAACCTTGACCAATATACATCACATATATCGGCAATCTATGCAATTTCATGTCAAACTTAGGGACTTTGATGTTTATTTACTACTTTTTAACATAATGTAAACATGTATGGCAAAGCTCGTTTGTATTGTTTGATAACGGCGCTAGTTTGTTTGATAACGGCGTTAGCATCGTTTGAGAACGGTGTTAGTGGCCTCGGAAAATTTTCCGAAACACGGCAACTCTGCCCAACATAAAATATTTAATTTTATAAAAAAATTGATATTACCGATGTATATAAAGGTATTTCTTTTACATAAGGAATAATATTAAGCAGATATTCCTAAAAAGCAATCAAACTCAATTTGTATATAAAATGTCCCCAAAAGTTGAATGTCCCCAAAACTTCCGCTAGATCTATAATTTATCGGGGACTGTCCCCAAAAAACTAAAATGTCCCTAAAAATATCATTGTATCGAAAACATGTCCCCAGAACTATCGCTGGACATATATATATATATATATATATATATATATATATATTAATATTTAACCTTTTGTGGGGGAGTACCAGAAGGAGTGGACCGATATATTACGATTTACCAAGTTTTGCCCAAATCGTATACCCGCTTCAAGGGTTATCGTGGGCATCCGCCAGCCACACCGACGGACATCGGAAGATCGACTCCAAATGTCCTCAAACGGTTTTGGCATGGTTTAATAAGGAGGTAGAAAAGTTTCGCTAAACTACAGAAATACACACCTGAGGCCATGTCCGCTTCCTATCAAATTTGCATGCAACAAGTTTCTCTATTTATTCTATATTTTTCTTCATTTTTAAAAAGAGATAAATAGCGCGAAAAATGAATTAAATGTCTGGATTTTCTTTCAAAAATATAATCTAAGCAGTCTGATACTTCAAATCCATGGCAAAATTGGCGAATAGCTTTAATGCGCGTCCCGCAATGTATTTTTCTTCCAATCATTAATTTTGAAAATATTTTGTTTTTATGTTTCAGAACAATAAATACATACACAAACTTGGCAGAAGACGTGTACACTTAAAAAAAATGGTAATCAGCGTTTAGGTCTACCTTACCATTTCGTTATACCATGGAGAGACCTAGCGTTTAAAACCGTTATTTTGATGAACATGGTAACTCACCCGTCACAATTTTAATTACTTTTATTTGTCATAACTCGCGATACAAGTCTGTGATTCCTTTCAACTTGCTATATCTAAATATATCTCTTAACCAAAAAACCTGAGAAAATTGGACATAATCGTTCGGTTTTCTTGTAATTTTACCATACCACATTCGTAATATGCACTCCACAAGAATGATATTTAGTACCAGATACAGCACTGAAATACCTCTGCCAAATTTGATCAAGATCGGTCCAGATTTGAGTATAGTTCCCTACTTTGTGGTTTTTCCCCGATATAAGAATTCTGTTTCAAAAATTTAAAACAATAAAACCAATTGTTGCATATTTAAAAGTCAATTGTTAAATTTAATATGGCAACCCTTTTCTGGCGAACTCGACCTTGTCATTTTTAAAATAAAATCAATTTTCATATCTAAAATATTTTCGTATGCGAGTGGCAGATTTTACAAAAATAATTAATAATCTTATCACATAAAAACATATACATTCCATATCTTAGGAATATTACGTTTATTTGTCTGTTCTTGGAATTAAACATATAAAAAACAACGTTTTCGGTGATGTTCGTTCTTGTGTAGGTTTCGAATGACGTTTTACTTTAGGTCCGCCTTAAGGATTAAACCACCAGATTTACCAGCTGAAAATTGTTGCTAAAATCTTCACAATACCCGCTATATGGAACGAGAACGAAACCTTACGCTGATTATTTCTGTAACAAATTTAATGCCAATAACTGAAAAAAGAGATGACAATCTTTTAGTAGTATTTTGGAATACAAGGCGTAATATTGAATACAAGGAATACTAAGCGAACCCAAATGCAACTTTTCCATAATTAAGTTGTCATGTCTTATCAGACCAATATTTTAGTTTCCTATTTTAAGTTTTATTCTTCTTTGACTTTTATACCCTCTAAAAGGCGTGAAATTAACAGGGCACATATTGTTCCAGAACCTGCAAGAATTTACTAGCATTTTCGATATCATAAAGGAAAAACTGTTATCGTAGTGAAAACTTTTACATTCTTGCAGTTCTGGAACAGACCCATTCTTTCTCGAATGACGAAAAAAAATAAAATATTTAAATTTGGCAGAAGCCGCAAAAATACAATTTTTTTCTATTTTAGATTCAATCTTGTGGAATAACCCCAAAATTAAATTCTTGTTTCGCAGGTTTTCCCCAATATAATAAATTTGTTAAAAAATGAAATGAAAACCAACTGTTGCATATTCGAAGGTCTCTTTGACACAAGACTCCAACACAGATTTTCATTTTTCTAGTTTTTTTTTAAGTTGAGAAACCTTTCTTATTGAGCCATGGAAGCACTTTTATGAAAGTAGGTAGGGCCACCATTGTCGATTTTAAACTCAAGCACTAAATATAAATTTATTTCAAATGTATTTCTAGTCAAAAGTTAATAACAACTGCGGTACGAGCCGTCTCGAATGCCGCAGGTAATGGCACGAAATATGAACATAGTGAACATTTTATTGTTTTTAGTATTAGTACCATGGTAGAACTAAGAAGGTAAAGTAATTATTCGTTTCACAACATCTCACTGTCAAAATTTATATTTATAAATTCATTGTATACACAGAAATCAGAGATGGGAACCTCTTTTTTTATTTAGTGAAATTTGAAATTGTAAATTAGAGAAAATGCAGAGATGGATATGTTTATTTGAAATGACTTTACCTTCTTAATTTTACAATGCATTTGACATCTCATTGTCAAAATCTATATTCATAAATCCATTGTATACACAAAAAATCAGAGGAAACTGTTTTTTTATGCATTGAAATTTTACAAAGTAAATTTGAAATGAGGTTTCCTTTATTTCATTGTACCATGTACTATCCATGGTAGAAGAATATAGGCAGACGCGTCGACACAGCTGCTTGGACAATGAACTGTCAAACCAATTTTGAATTTGAAAATGTTGAATGAAAAATTATTTAAATTTGTAAAAATTGTTGAAAATGCGAATTATAATAGCCTCCGAATGACGTAGTATAAGAAAGCATATAAAAATCTACTTATATTTGAAAAACATTTACATTTTTTGACATACAAATGCTCCCAAGCGTTGATGCATTTACCTGTAGTCTTCTGCCATGGTACTATCCATGGCACAATTACAGAAGGTAGAACAAATTATTTTCAAAAAATGTAACTATTTTTTAAATATATCTTCATTCAAAAGTTTGAATTCTTTTTTTTTTTGACAGTTCGTTGTACCAGCTGGCAAGACTGATTACATGCAAAATAAGTTGAAAGTCAGCCAGTATCCTTAAGGACAAACCCATTTAACAAAGAGGCTCCGAACCTCTATTATGGAGTTTCTTTGTATCAATTTGAAAGCAAATGCAAGTGCTTTCGCATTAAATATCGTACCGACGTAGCGAAACTGGCCCGACGTGCCCTGATAGTTTATAATGTTAACCTCATGCCCTTTAACCTAACATGGATGACAAGACCACTAACTTACTTACGACAAACGATCTCAGATTTATTTTGTTAACGGAAGAATATATGATATAAAAATTAATCGCTCGTGCGAATAGTTTCTTAAAATTATGGAAAAAAAATCTAAGGAAATTACTATTCATTTAACAGCTATAAATTGTATTTCAGTTAATTAAATATATTTTCCATTGGTTATTATTATAAATTTGTAACGGTTATTCGTTTTGCTAAACTGTTTTGTTCTTTTATTGTTTGACATTTACATTAGCATTAGTTTGAAGAAGAAATTGGTTAATAAAATCAATAAAAAATCAAATAAAACAATATTCGTTTGCATGTGTTTACATAGTAAGTTTTAGGTTTATATATTTGCATTGCTAACCTACAGGACATATATGTTATTAATTCATAAATTTTAAATAAATAATGCAAAAAGCTAACTTATGAAACTTTGGATCGTCATCACCGTTGGATGATTCAACCATTGACGTTTTTCGTATCATATGATGTTGGGGAGAAACTGGTCCGATGATCTATCCACTGCACAAGCAATTGTAATGACTAAAGCACAAATGCAAGCTTTTCCTATATATGAACTGCAGCCGTACGCATCGAAGACGGATAAACACAAAAAATCAAAACAATTTCCAAATGTATACAATTCCTTAATGAAATATCTAAAAATCATGTAAATGTTTTGCGTACAAGACAACTAGATATCGGTCTGACAATTCGAATGTACAGGCGTCTTTATCCATCCAGCTGAATTTGAACTTATTTGCAACTTCGTCTGATATATGAACGATACGATATGAATGATTCAAACATTTAAAATGAAGTAGTTTCATAATTTGTTGTTGGTTTTCGTTTTTTCTTCACTATAAATATTATTTGAGATTTTTTATTATTAATAATTTTTTTCTTTATTATATTATTAATATTATACTATGTATGTATTTACCATTAGATGTATAACTTAAATTAAAAAAGGAATTAAAATAAATTTAGACAAAATTAATTACAAAGGTCTGAGTTGTTATTTTCGTAGTAGGGTTTCGAGTTGTAGGCATATGAAGAAAACGTATAAATTTGTTATATGACGAACATAAAGAGGTGCATTATTGTAGGATTTTTCACTTATAATAAAAAAATAAAACATATATAAATATGATTTAGGGAAGTTAAACGTAAAAATTAGGAAAGACAAAAGAGCAGAGAACAAAAAAGTTAAATAAAGTAAAGAAGTCTGTATAAAAAGAAGTTAAAACTTAGTAGCGAGTAACTAAAACAAAATGCACTTAACCGAGAGTTGTGGTGAATTGTTACTAAGGTAGATAGAGTTGCTGACTGACGACGTCTCTTGCCGCCTAATGCCAATAATGGTTACGTTATTATTTTCCGTTGCAGTGACAACAAAAACACGTCGTTTTTTGTGATTTTAGGATGGTTTAGAACCGATAACAATTTAAATTGATGCACAGTTATTGGCAGGGCCCAGATGAAAAAGAAAACAGGGGGCCACAGCAAAGCAATTGTGGTCGTCGATGGAATCTCTTAAAACGCATCCGTGTACTCAGCCTCAGACTGTTGAAAGGAAACAGTTCCGTACGTATTGATTGTGTGTCTGACATTCGCCAACTACTGTTGTTTCTACCTAGAAAATAAAACACGATTTAGTATCTAACGTCGCCTATATCCATTTGCTGCTGTTGTTGGAGGGCGCGCGACAATCATGAGGAAGATGCTGAAGAATTCTTTGTTGAACTGCCGCCACCGCTAGTTATCCCGCGTTGCTTTTCAATATAGACGTTGAGTAGACGAACTTTGCTTGGATTCAGCATGGTCAACTTTGGCTTTACTTTCTCCTCGCCCATCACAATGTACAACTTGACGATGCAAAATACGGCTGCTTTGCGTACCATTGACTGATAATCGTCTGTAAGTCGGGCCAAATGTGGAAACACCATTTCCAGTTGGGTTTCTGTCAACTCGGAGCCATGGCGATCTGCCAACTCGGTAAGCAATTTCAAGGCACACAGATTCACTGGATACGTACCTGTGGCAATCACAGGATTAACGATGTTTATGGTTAGATTAAGTGGAAGCGCTGGCACGATTCGTGGTATTATCATGTCTAGCTCCCGCATTGTCTCTTTGCTCTTAGGGTAACAGTTAATAATTTTCAGGAGTATCAGCTCAACGAAATTAATCCAGTTAGGCTTCATATGAGGACGACGCAAGATCTTGCTGAGAACGTGAAGGGCCTCCACAACCACTTCGTTAGAAGTGGCATCCAACATATTAAGCAGCATCTTCATGATCGCCCGGAAGTGTTTGTTTGGCAATTCACAATTTCCGCCTTTGATGCAGACAGACAGGTTGTACAATGACGACTGGACCTGTTGGGCAGGCATGTCGGGCGTGAGACTAAGAGCTATTTTAATTATTTCACTTTCTTGAACGCCATTCTGCAAGATTATTTCACCATTGTCGGCAAACTTAAATTCTACGTAATTTGACGAAGAATTTGTTTGGGCTAAAGCTGAGCCTAGAGCACTAGTTGTCATTTTGTGATGCTGTTCGAGAAGGTTTCCGTCCAGACGCATTGTGGTGCTTTCCGGAGTATTAGATTCGGTTGTGGTTGCCGATTGAGTCTTGGAATTGGACGACGCACAAGAGTCGATCGCCTCGCTCGCGTGGCCATTGTAGCCCGCCCCGCCGTTGGAATTGTTGGCCAAAGAATTATATTGTGTGTCGAAGCCACCAAAGCAATTTCGAATTTCTTCTGTTGTCTTCTGGATATTCTGTTGTACGTCGACTTCTGAATAACCCAATAAGTCATTGTCGGTGACAGAGGACTGGCGCGATCTAGGACTAGTAAATTGTGGCTGTAGTGAGGAAAATGGGCCACTCACGTTGGGACTTTGCAATGGCTTCGGACTTGAGCTCGATAGAGGCGAAGATGAAGGAGAATTTGTGCCAGATGTACTACTGCGTCGCAAGTGTGTCTGAATACAAACCTTGGCCGAGTCTTGGCACGCCTTGGGCAGGGTTGACAACACCCTTGTCATTTGTGGAGTGTTCAGATTGTATAAGGCAATCAAGCAATGTCGTGCTTGATTCCTCAGCTCGAGGCTTTTTTGATCGCCAGCCATTTGAACGATTTTCAGAAGGGCCTTTTCGACGATTGGCAAAACAGTGCCATCATCTGATCCTGGAAAGTCGGTATTTTTACAGTAGGTATTTGCCAGGCTGGTAAGAAACTTCAAAATTGCAATACGAGTTTTGGTACATGGAGTCTGGGCCGTGTCAGACAGAATACGGAAGACGTCTTTCATTTGGAGATCTGTCGGAAAATATTCATGAACCACTTGCAGTGTCTTCCAGATTTTACCATGCATTGAGTTCAGCAATTCAGTGCCCAACTTATTAAAAAGGCGAGTCAGTAAGATAAACAACCAATCATGCAGATCGTTAGAGTAGGCCAATATCAATTCTGTTACTGTTTCCAGGAAAAGCGAGTATACTTTGGTGTGCGTATCCATGAACATCTTACGGAACGTATCCAATACCAATTGCAGCTGCTGTGGTGTAAGTTCCTTGCCGTCGGCCAAGTAATGCGTCAGGCTAATGAGACCATCTTTGCGTTCAGACCAGTGAGTCGAAGCACAGTACTGAATAATAGTATCTATATCTTCGAATGGAGGCCTAAGGAAACTCCAGTCCAAACGATTTCTCGAGCCTGACAGGGAATAATTTGAGTTGTTGCCTCTTGTGTACGACGAGTCAAAGGATCTTTCGGAACAAACCGATGAAGCTTCAGAATCATCCGATTCATCACGATTCATTAGCTTTCTGCTCAATCGAGCACCAGCAGAGTAACCACGATCTCGACTATAGTCACCCATGGAAGCGTAATCTCCACCACTGCCGTCGGGGGATAAAGCGTCCGCAAGAGCATTTTCGGCATCCCGACTCTGTTGAAGCAAACGAGCTGCTGCCAATTGTCGCGTGGGTTGATTGCGCTCCGGCGTCCGACGCGAGTTTCCAGTTGCGTACATGCTGCGTTTCATAATCACTCCACCTCCACCCCTCGTGGGACTGGTTTCCCGAGAACTGGCCAGAGATCTGGGAATGCCTGATGCTTTCTTGGGTATGGTGCCAGTAGGCCTGTAATATGAGGCAATACCATGCTGTTCCCGTAGTTTGGAGCTTGGTGATGTGGACCTGGACCCGGGTTGTGATTGTGAGACACCTGCTCGACCACGAACCCTGGGAGAAACACTGCTGTTATTTGTCGCAGCTGGCTGTTGAGAACTTTGTGGTTGTGATCCAGTTCCCAGTCTTGAACGTGGTAAAGATCCAGTTGCACTACTGGGTGTAGAATTTGCTGTGCTAGCGGTATTTGCAGCCTTTTTGCGTGCAAGGAACGCATATTGAGCTCTTGCCTTTGCTCGATTTGCTGCAGCTGTATCCACTGCAGAAACACTTCGCATTCCCGGTGTGGGCTTCTGAATAGAGCCTGGAGAACGTTGAATGCGAGCAGTTGCTACTGTTGCTCGTCGCTCATCTGTTCCACCGCCACTTGTCCCACCATCTCTTTCTCTCTCTAAAGCCTTTTGGGCTGCTATATCGAGAGTGCCATATATTTGATCGGCCAAGTCAGGGAAATGGCGTCTGTATACCCAATAAGCGCGTCTAGAATGCCGTCGAGCTTCACTATCAGCATCGGAAATGGATTTCTTTAAGGTGTCGCGCAAAAGCGGAGCACTCTTTTCGATAGCTTTTGTGGGCCACTCCTCGCACAACAGGCAGACAATTTCGCACAAAGCAGCACGAATATCTTTGGATTTGGACGTCTGCAGCATATCTGCTATAATTTTTACCAACTTTGGCGCATGCGTGTACTTTATAATGTATTTCACAGCTAACGTCGAAGCAGAAGCAATGACTTTTGCAGAGTTCTGAATCAATAGTATTAACTGTTCCATAATGTACTCGCAAAATTTGTCCAACTTCTGTTGCAGTACCTTTGACATGTACGCTATGGTAATGCAAGCCTCTCTGATAACCTGCGAACGTAATTCCTCCTTCAGTATGTCTAGGAATGATATCGACAACTCCTTCAACTGAACTGTCACGAATTGGGGTTGTGACTGTATATTTAGTAGAAGCAAAGAGCGTATTTTCTTTAGCGCATCAACGCGTTTATCCCAATCGGCATTTTTGTCACTTATGATAGCTAATATATTTTTATAAATGTCGTCCATGTCCTTTGGATGAAAAATATTTAGATGAGGTACGGCTTCAAAAGAGGCCTCAAAAATTTCCATTGTTACAGCGCCTGCATCGGCCGCACTGTCCGCCGCAATATTGTTTTTGCTTCTCATCGTGGCCGAAACAGTTCGTTTTACAATTTTTGTAGGTCTGTCTCGAGCCGCTATGTTGTCTGCCTCATCGTGGCCATTGTTGTTGTTGTGTGTTTGTGTGGATAGTTGCGCCGACTTTAGTAAAAGTCCATCGTTTTTTATTTGATCAAACTTCTGCTCTAGTATGGCCAATTTGGAAGCTGGTAAATCATCTCGCCGTCTTAAATCGGGCCGCAAGCGATCACCTACGTGTTTATATATTTCCACTAAGGTTTGTATGGCTGAGTCACGTACCGACACTGTGGGATCTCCCAACAGAACGCAGATGGATTGTATGTAATTCCGTACACTAAGTTGCGATGTTCCGTAGACACTGAGCGTGTTCACAATGGTCTGTAAAAATTCTTCTCGGACTTTTGCATTCTTGTGCTTAAAGCAGCTAGCTGCCAACTTGTCGAGCAAGACCTGCGGGGTAAGAACCTTATGTTCCATTAAAGTCTGGAGCAGCAGCTGCGCCTTCTCCCGTACTGTGTCTTTGCTGTCCCCTAGGCGGTCTATAACATGCGGCAATACTGTCGACGTATAGGCATTAAAATCAGGGCCCAACCGTTTGATGAGTTCCGTAAAAGCCTCCAAAGATTTTTGTGCAATTTTAAAATGACTTCCTGTTAACCAAGGCATAAGGCCGTCAACCAGAAGGCCCATATCCATACAAACGATGGAATTTGTATCGTCGCTCAGGAATGTAACGAGATCTTCCGCTAACTGTCCTTTGACTCGCATATCTGCTTTTGGCATCAGCTGAATAAAGCCATCTAAATCACTTGGTTTCCGATACGCCATGTTGGGTTTAAATTAATCCTTGCGAATGTCTGGAGGTGAAAAAATAATAGATCTAAAAATAGATAGTGGGAGCAAAGATATTCTGTTAGATAAAAGTTAATAATGTAAAAGATTTTTACAAATAGCAAATAATGCAATTTTTTTTATTTGATGACATGATCGATCTTTTTCCTCATTTGTGCTACAATCTACCTCTCAAATCACGAACGTGTAACCGGCGAACCAGACCAACATGTACAAAAGCCAAATGGTTTTCCTTATTTTCTTCTCCAATCGACACCTCTCTTAAGGATGAACAATCTTGACTCCGAAAGCCTAACATATTTTCGCAATTATCGAATTGAAAGTAAATACTAAGAAACTTTCATTTAAACAAAAATCAATTAATTTTCCAAACTAAGACAGAATAGAGAAAATATGATCTGCTTGCATGAAGAAATGGATGGGGTAGACAAACTAACATCCTGAGCGAGAACTTTCAACATAAACGAACCGAAAAATACAATATGGGTAGCATTTGATATAAGCGGTTCAGAATTAATACAAGAAAATCTATATTTTTATTTTGGACTATTTTTGAAAATCCACCAGAATTTGAAAATGAGCCTACTATGTGGGAGTAGGAGCTAAATAATAATTACACACCCTTGCCTTTTTGCAAAAAGGGGGCATTATGTGTGCATATCGCATTTAGTTTATCGTCATAAAAGTGAAGATATAGAGGTTTTCATCTCTGAAAGCTTTTTATGGAGTGCTAGAAAACTAAGCCTTTTATACGACACAAAACTCGACTTTTCTCCAAGCTATATAAGTGAATCTAATATCTTTGGATCCAAAACGATACTTTTTGGGTGGACTAGAGCGTATAATTTAATTTTTTATATTGTTTTCATTGCCCCGCAATGGGCCTATTGGGTATTCACGTGCTTAAGAAGCAATTTACAGACCAATACGTGGTTTCCGAAAAGATCAACATATCAACCATCGATAGTCATTTCCATAGCACTTTTCTAAAATCTTATCCAAACGCAATGTGACGAGGTATTTAAAAATGAAACTCCTCGTTCACATTGTTGCTTTGAAATCTCAACTTCAATAATAGTTTCAGTTTCCCTGATGACACACAGAGTTTGGAATATTCTTAAACGTTCTTTTCAACTCATTATTCTCACATTGCGCACTGTTCGTAAACATACATCCTGAAATTACAGTCCAAAGGATAACAGATGGAGAGTGAAATAGAGAAATATAGTGACCCATTACTCATGATTCACTCTTCTGTGAGTTTCATGTAGACATTCCATTACTGACTTTATACGAGGAGGGGGTTAGTCGTTGTAAAGAAAAGACAGAGAAAGAGAGATACGTTGCGAGAAAACGAAAAACCAAAGAAAGTATGGCAACAATGGGTGGGTGTGTGCGCAAGGTTAGGAGTGACAACAGCGTCCAAGTGACAGCATCGTACAAAGTGTGACAACAAACGGTAGAAAACACCAACACACCAGTATCTGCTATAAACAGAGAACGACTGCTACGTCCGTCTATGTGTTATTGAAATCCATAGCTAGTCGCTGCTTTATAGATCTCTCCAGTGTTGTTTTATAAGAGTATTTGTGCGAATGTCAGTGGTTAGGAGTATGTGAATCATCTTTTGACAAATATGAATATAAAAATAAAAACAAAAGAACAAGAAAAAGAGAAACTAATAGTAAGAAAGGCCGTCAAGCAACTCCCTCATATGTTTATGACGACAATGTTATAACTACTTGAAAGAAACACACGAAAAATCATTTTAGCAAACTAAGCTTGCACTTGTTGTAATAAAATAAGGCAATGTCCAACATTATGCACGCAAGTACATGTATTGTTTCCCTTTGGGGCCACACCATAGATGTCCCAGTTATGCGGTACATCAGGCAATCTCATTTTAGCAACGACCCGTATGTGGATATTATTAATTGGTAAACAAAATTCACGCACAGATGATGTCAGTAGGTAGAAAATATTTGTCATGTTATCAAGAGGGGATTACCTCTGCCTTTAATGAGAGAAAATTTCACCCATGGCGGAGACGATTATGTCGACTTTTCTTTGGTCATGCAAAGATAAATTTGCTTTTGTAGGTATCAAGTAATGTATAAAAATACTCCATCGGTTTTCGGTTCGCACGAGTTCGTATGGAAAACTAATCAGAAAGTCGAGTGGATTCAGCCAATAGACAAGGGGAACAATGACGTTGTTATCGTTTGCCGTAAATAAATGTCACTCTGCGTCAAAAGAATCTGGCCGCTGCTGGTAGAAAGCAGCAGCAACTGCTGCTGCTTCGCCCCACAGTTGATCAATGGTTTTCGAGTCGACGGCATTAGGAAGATGTCATTTGGCGAATTAGCCAAAATCGAAATAAAAACAAAAATTCGTACGTTAAAATAAAACAGCAACCAAGACTATATATCAAAAACAACATCACACAAACGCACGTACAGCAATTGGCACGCTAATCAATTTTCGGCAGAATACATCCACCGAAGAAGACCGGCAAACGATTGCGAATATGCATGAACTATGAAACTACGAGGCGACTGATATATAATTACTTCCTGCTTCTGAAACTTACCTCAGCAAAGTGTTATTTCGGATGGTCTGCACTCTTTTTGGCCGGTTTGAACATGTGAGCCAATGGGTGTAAGGAGTCGCAAGGGCTACAACTGGGTCGATTGAATTTTTCCACCGATGGCAGTTAGTTGGCAAACTTTGTGACAGCTAACTTCTTGTTTGTGTGTCTGCCTCAAGCAAAACGACCAAGCGTTTTACGCTGCAGAGCAGTGCAGCTTTTCTGAGACCGTATGCAAATTGATTTTCCTGTCAGCACTGTTACATTAACTACAGAAGAGAGTGACTTTCATCGAAATTCCACTTGATTTTTTCCTGCAAATAATAAGACTCCCTCAGACTTGGACAATAGTTTTGTACTAAACCATATGTGTGCCGTTATTTCTTCACTTCCATAAGCCGTGGACACTCTCTGTCTTCAATACTCACAATATTTATAAAAATTCCAAACTATTCTTATCGTACTCCTTTTCCAATTCTTCTTTTCTTGGGCGAGCGATTCACTCCGTGTATTTCTTTCTAACTGTTATTTATTGTCAACTGTTTTTTGCACTTTCTTTCGTTCGCGTTCTTCTCGATTTTTTTGTGTTTCTCTTTAATCGTTTTCGTATTTTTTTCCTCGCTGGTGTGACACCAACTTTTCCGACGCTGCAAAATGTATCCGATAATTTCAATTCATTTTTGTGTTGCTAGTCGCGAATCCATTAAATGAAAACGAAAACTAAACAATTTTTCGCAAATAGGTCTTTTTCACCAACATTTTTATGAATTTCTTAATACAATTTGCAATATGATTTTAACTTTACGCTGCGTGTGTTGTGTGGAAAAAATTGCTCGTAGATACTAATGGAATTATGTCATTTTGTTTGTCAAAATGCCTTTGTCCAAATCGGGATATTAATTCACAGATCATTGCAGCAACGCAAGGTAGATCTACCTTGCAGCAACGGGTTCCCTGCTAATCACTGAAAAATGATAACACGGATAAGACTCAATTTACACGTACTTTTTTAATGGTAGAATTAAGAAGGTAAAGCCATGGAATCATATGTGTACGATTTTGTTTCAAAATTATTAACTTGACTACATCTCATTGTCAAAATTTATATTTACAAATCCATTGTATACCCACAAATCAGAGATGGAAATCTGGTTTTTATGCATTGAAATTTGACAAGGTAAATTACAGAAAATGCAGAGATGGGTATGCTTATTTGAAATGGCTTTATCTTCTTAATTTTACCATAGGTTAACCCCATGATATAATTATTACAGGTAGCGGCAAACCCCAGCTACTCTATAGTAATACTAGTGTCAAATTCGATTTGACGTTTTATGATTTCATTTCATTTCTTGATATGCAATAGGTATACAATTTTTTAAATAAAATGTCATATTAAAAATATTTTTGCCAAATAATATATAAATATTATATATATATAATGCTTTCTAATATTGCAAAAAGTAGGATACTTTATGTATATGTACATGCAATTTAGTTTTAATTTGAAAAGGACATTGTTTTTCCGCGATTTTCTTGCGATTGTTGAAGTGGTGAGAGATTTATACCTACAGCTAAAGTAGGGCAGAACGATTAAATTTGAAAAAAAAAACAACTCTGAAGTTGTATACATGTTATGACATTATAATGCCATGTTTACGTTAGAACTTTTTGAAGGGTTAACCTACTTTGAGAGGATTTATTTGAAGTAAAAGTAATGGGTATGACAATTTAAATCCAAATCCAGTGGGTTAACCCTCATATATATAAACGTACTATAAGACTACCAAAATGAAAAATTGTATCTAGTAGGGAAATTTTCTAACCCATTGTTGTCAACTTTAACTTATTTTTTTTATCATAATAATGGGTTTCAAAGCTATCGGTTTTTGACGGTAACTCAACTCTTGCATGATATACAGGCATGTCACAAGAATGAATTCGGTACAAAAGTGGTTTTAATTTCGTATTTAGCTTCTTCAGAAAATGTAAATCGCAACATTTTTTCGATCTAAAACCACTTTTGTTTTTGCAAGTGAAATTGTATTTTTATGGAAAATTTTGACTTTGAAACACTCTCAAAATACTTTTAAGTAATAAAAATGTTGTCTTAATGACATATACACAATTAAATTTACATTTTTAATCATTTTATTCAAAATAATTGGCAAATTTTAATGGTTTCTCAATTGACGAAAGCAATTATTAACAAAGTTTTGCCAAATCACTTTTTTCGTCAACAAAAATCATTATTAAAGAATTTTGTACAAAAATGAATCTTAAAGTATGTGAAATATGTATTGTGGAATGCCGTTTAATCAATTAATCATTAATTAATATTTTAGGGGCAGGCACAGGAATTCGGTCCGAAGCATCTCTTAAATTTCTACGGGGTATTCTTCAGTATTGTGTTCATTACTTTGCGCCTCAATTACAGAAACAATCGAAACTCCCGTCATTGCGTAAAAAATAATGAAATAAACTTTATTTTTGCACAAAAAACTCTCATTAACAGAATATTTTTCACAAGTTACACTTCTACAATGTTTCTAATCATGTACTTTGTTTTGATTCCTCATTCATTCGTTCTCTCATTCCCCTATTGTTACCAAATTGAATATATAATGTTGCCATATTTACACTGAATTCGTAGTTCACTAAATCGTACGAAATCTGAAGAAGGTAAAACAAAATTGTACGATTTTGAATTGCGAAATTCAAACCATTTCGATACGATATTGTGACATGCTTGATAATTACCAGGTAATCTCATGCATCATACATTAATTTTTTCATATAATGTTTCTTAATTGTCGAATTTATATTTTGTAGTTCATTCTTAAATATAGACGCACGGTTGGAAATAAATTTCACTAATTTCCGATCAAATATTCTGGCATTTTCATTCCTTTTAGAGGACATAAAAAAAGTAATATAAAACTTCTTGAAATAGTTGAATTTAGGTACCCCCAAATATAATTTTTTTTTTTTTGGTGCCCTTAACATGGTAGAAGAATATATATAGTCGCATCGACACAGCTGCTGGGACAATGAACTGCAAAAACCAATTTTAAAAATGAAAATTTAGTCAAATTCGTTAAAACTGTTGTAAAATGCATATCATAACAAACTCTGATTGGAGTCGTATAAGGAAACATAAAAATCTACTTATTTTTGAAGAAACATTTAAAAAAATTTGACATATCAATATTCCTAAGCGATGTTGCATTTCTTTTACCGCGGCCCTTATTATGTCAAACATATACACATTTTGTGTATGTGTGTGTATTGTTCTGAATCTTCTTCTATATATATAAAAATCAATTGTTGTTCGTTGGTAATGGAATCAGTTGAGAACGGCTGGACCGATTTGCATAATTTTTTGTACAAACGTTCGTCATACCCCGAGTTAGGTTTTTAAAGAAAAAAATATTAACCACGCCTAATTTTACGCTCGCTATTTCGATTTATCTAAAATCCTTATACTTGCCAAAATAAGGAAGATATCGGTTTGAAAATTATTCCATCCAACCCTGCGAATTTATTTGGCGGCTGAGAAACTAACCCCGCCTACTTTTTGGTCTAAATATATCTATACATTCAAAAGAAAGTTGTGTTAGTTACTACGCTTATAACTTAAGAACCGCTTAACTGATTTTAGCGATCCAAACAAATTCGGAATTGTCTCTTGGCAGAAAAGGAAAAAAACCAAAAAAATCGCGGAAAATGTGAAACATGAAATTTTTTCATTTTGACTTTTGAAATGTACAATAGTAATGTTTTATATTGCATGATTTTTTTCCATTTTGACTTACTATTTTCGATTGTATATTTGTAGTTTTTTTTTTTAATTCTAATATGATTTGTAGCATGGTACAAGGAATTCAAGGTAGGGCAGAACTACCATATGATTTCAATTTTTTTTATTTTCTTGGCTTAATATGTCATCTTTATTTGTTTATGTGTTTTCTTTTCAATAACAAAATCATCATTGTTCAGAAAATATTCAAATTCGGGTGTTTTCAAAATCTTTATTTCAACGTATGCATCGACAAAATCTAGAGTTTTTGTAGCGAAATAATCCTTTAGGGATATATAGTACATGATTTTGAAAAGAAGTTCTGACCTTTCATTCAGTTATCGCGTTTTTCAATTATTTATTCAAAATAAATGCAACAAGTTGTTTGATTTTTTATCGTTTTGATAGTAATTCTGACATTACAAGCCAAACAGGCATTTTTTTCAAAGTTGGCCTACCTTCTCTTCATTGTACCATGATTTGTAGTCTTTTTGGGGAGTATCATGGTACAATAATATCAAGGTAGGGCTATGATACCATATGATTTTAATTTTTTTATTTTCTTGGCTTAATATGTCATCTTTATTTGTTTATGTGTTTTCTTTTCAATAACAAAAAAATTGCCTAGAAAATATTCAAATTCGGGTGTTTTCAAAATCTTTATTTCAACGTATGCATCGACAAAATCTAGAGTTTTTGTAGCGAAATAATCCTTTAGTGATATATAGTACATGATTTTAGAAATAAGTGTTGACCTTTCATTCAATTATTTATTCAAAATAAATGCAACAAGTTGTTTGATTTTTTATTTTGTTACTAATTCTGACATTACAAGCCAAAAAGGTAGAGCTCTATACTTGCAATTTTTTCAAAGTTGGCCTACCTTCTCTTCATTGTACCATGGGGAGTATTAAACGACAACTGACAAAACTGTTATTTATAGATTTTTTAGAAGATAATAATCTATGAACACAAAAATCAATATTTAAATTACTTTTTTAAAATCGCTAAAAAATCACGAAAAAAAGACTTTCTCATCGCAAAAATTCTGAAATCGGGAAAAAATCGGAAAAAATTTTAATTGGATCGAATTTCAAAATAATTGTACATTCCATTGAAAAACTTCGTAAGGACCTTTTTACATTTGCTGTAAAAAATCAGCGAACAAGTTGAAGATTTTTTTCTTTTTTCAATTTGCTTTTCTTTTTTTTGTCAATGTACGATTTCAGTTTATCATATTGAATTCAATCATTTTTTTGTGAACAAAATAAAGAATTATTTTCGCCATATAAAAGAAAATTATGTCAGTTTCTACGCTTATAACTCAACAACGGTTTGACGGATTTTAAGAATTCATTAAATTTCGGATGGTACGCAATACGATATTAAATGGCGATCTCTAGGACCTACATCGTGCTTCAGCTGGAAAATGCGAACACATTTAAACAAACGAAGTTGTGACTGCAATCAGTAAAATGCCGAATATAAGTTGTGCAAAATAGTAGAGCGAATTGGACATTTAGTATGAAATGGATTTCTTCCTAAACTTTTAAGATACCTTAAATCGCTCTTGCAGGTCATGATATGGGTCATAACCCCCGGATGAGGGTACAAACCGATTTCAAATATATTTTACGTTTTAAGCATATTTTTCATACTAATTTCGGTAAATGTTGGTAATATAACCATCATATGGTTTAAGCTATTTTCGGGGTCTTGGCCACTTTATTTATTTATTTATTTTTTTTTTTTGACATTTTTCTTTCCAAGGGGGTAGAAAACCTATTCGCATAAAATTTTCAATTTTCGAAGTAGGGCCCATCTCAGTCTTGACCACATTCATCAATTGATTTGGGTAAATAATAGTATTTAAGATATTCTGGGGTAGAGAACCAACTTATAGATAATTGTCCACGTAGGCATTTATTTAAGTATAGTCCCCACATTAGTGTACGCCAACCAATGTGTGGTCAGAAAAGAAAATTGTGTATTCTATTGAATTTGTAACCCCCAAGAGAACATTGGTTGGGAAAGTAGATTTTGGATGTACGTCTATATGAAATAAACTCTGA